GATAGCTATATTGGCTTTTATAAACACCAGTGGTCTGGTGGTAGAATAGTACTCTGCCACAGTACAGACTTGGGTTCAATTCCCGGCTTGTGCATTAGTCGATGATGACTTCTTATTCTATAGTTGAGTGCTTATGTCATCTCGACACCCCATTTTGGCTTTTAAAAGGACCACTTACTTTGCTCCCAAAGGCATAGTTTTATTTCAAACCAATTAGTAGAGTTTCTTAAACTCTAAATTAAATTGAATTTTTTTTTTTTGAAACTAATGATTAGTTGTTATTATTTATTTATTATTTAAAATCATAATTTTGTTTTTTGTGCAGATGAATGCAAAATTGAAGATGTTCTTGTCTGATTGTAGCCTCGTCGCTGTCGGTGAAGAAATTTCCTCTATTACGGTACGTTGAAATCCACTGATTAAGACAACAAAAGATTTCAAAGATCGTGACGTTTTTTCTTTTGACTAACTTGAACTGATCCAATCTCCCTAATATCAACTCCATTTTGGAATAATTGAACTCTGATCTCTCTTATCTTCGGCTGCCGCTTCATCTTTTCTCTGATTTCCCAAAAATGGTTTCCACCGTCATTGATCTTCTCAAGAACGAGATTCCGCTGGAGCAGGAATCTGTGGTTTTGGCTGAAGACACTGTTAATGGCCTTGTTCTTGTTGATATCATCAATGGCTTCTGCACTGTTGGCGCTGGAAATTTGGTAAGTGTTTTGCACTTGGGTTTGTTATATTGCACACTATCTGTTTGATGAAATGCCTCTGCGGTTTTTCCTGAAAATTTGGCTGTTTTCTTTCTTCTTGTTATTGCACACAATCTGTTTGATGTTATGCTTCTGTAGATTTACCGAAGAATTTGGCAAGTTTTCGTTAATTTGTTGCATCTTTGGAATATATTCTGTTTGATGTTATCATTCTTCTGCGTCTTAAATGGCTAGTTTATGGGTTTTTTCATGTACGCGTAGAAGATTCGAACAGAAGCTTAAATTTACTGTTCATTGAACTTTATTGAACTTCCCACCTTTACATATTTTGATGCTATACTTTTGCCTTGCATGGGTGCCAACCAAGACCCCTAATAAGAATTCTGACAACTTCGGACTAGGTTCACCCATTTGAATTAGTTGATCTTATAAAACCGATCAAGCAAGCTGGTTGGGAAGGGATTTTTAGTGGAGAAAAGAATCGCTGAGAGATAGATTTGACTATTTGGTCATAATGAATGTGTGGATATATAGCATGCTTTGGAAGAGATTGATCCTGAGAGTCAGTCCAGTAAAAAAGGAGAGGGCCCGTTGTCTAGACTGCATTTTGGGAGTTTGAACACCATCCCATTTTCATGTTCGGTCTAATAACGGGTCTCACTCTCCATATTCTTATTCACTTTAGTTGGACTAAAATTTACATAGTCTTACTTCTCAAGTTCTAACCAAAAGATTCTATTCAATTTGGACTAAAGCAAATATAGTTTTACTTTTAGATTCTACTGAGAATCCTCGTTCTAATAAAAGTAATATTAGCAACTTGAGCGAGGTTCTACTTGTTAGGGCATAGACCTACCTTTGATGGAAATGTTAACGGTTTGAATCTCACCTTCACCTTCACCTTCACCTCTCTTGTTAAACTAAGTAGAAATAAAATTGATGTTTTTCTCTTCCGTGTTTCTTTTTCTGTAATAGGCTAGAAAATTGGTGGGATAAGAGTATTACGTTATGGAGTCTGCTGCTTATTTATAACTTCACTCCATGGTTATACATACTAAAACTATATCTATGGTAAATGACATAAAGTAAATGGTAGATAGTTATATACGTTACATTGTGGCTATATCTTGTAAAATTATATATAGTAAACTGAAACATATATGTAACTCATTAGGCAATGCTGTAAAGATGTACTTTCTCTATTCTTTGTATGACATATAAAGTAAATGGTAGATAGTTATTTACAGTAGATGATGACAATATCTGGTAAAATTATATATATAGTAAACTCAACCATATATGTACCCGATTAGGCCAATGCTTTGAAAATGTATTTTCTTTGTTGGTACATACTTGAAGTCATCAATATAAATCTCTAGCTAATATTTCTCATTGCATTTTCTCTCTACTGTTCTTGTGTTCATTTAGATCGAGTATGTATTGGTGTGCGATCCTGTGTGATCCCACATCGGTTGGGGAGGAGAACGAAACATCCTTTGTAAGGGTGTGGAAACCTCTATCTAGCATACGCGTCGCGTTTTAAAGCCTTGCAGGGAAGCCCAAAAGTAAAAATTCAAAGAAGCCAATATCTGCTGGCGGTGGAGTTGGGCAGTTACAGATCCTAGGAAAGAAGGTAAATTAGAACGTTGGAGTTTATGGGATGTTTTTGTTGGCAGGCACCAAGAGAACCAAACAGGCAGATCTCTGAAATGGTAGAGGAATCAGCAAGGATTGCAAGGATTTTCTGTGAGAAGAAATGGCCTGTAATGGCATTTCTTGACTCTCACCAACCAAACAAGCCTGAGGAACCATATCCTCCTCACTGTATTGCTGGTTCTGATGAATCCAACTTGGTTCCAGGCATGTCTCTCTCTCTCTCTCTCTCTCTCTCTCTCTTTCTGTTTTTCCCTCATATCAAACCAAACAGATTGCATCAAAAACAAGTAAATGATCAGAAAATTTTAGATGAATATCAGAATGATTTGAAGAAACCCATGGTTTTAGCAAATCTAGTGTATGTTTATACGTCGAAAATATGGGAACTGGATGTTAGAACCTATGACGACTTTTTAAGTAATAATATATATTTTAACGAATGAAATTACGCTCAAGTTTAACACAATTAGCCAAATTCATATAATTAAAACGTGTCACCGTTTAACTAAATCATTAGTTAGAGTAAGCTGAGAGCTTGAAAATTAAGAAAGTATGTACTATTTTCATTCCAATCTTCCCAATGTACCTGTGATCTTTTAGGTGGAAGAATCTTAGAAACAAATTTTGCATTTTTTCTTGATATATTGTTAAATTATGAAAATTACAATAATTGTAATGGGTCAAAACAAGAAGCACCAGTGGTCTAGTGGTAGAATAGTACTCTGCCACGGTACAGACCCGGGTTCGATTCCCGGCTGGTGCATCTGATGTTTTTTTTTATTTTTTTGTTTTTTTTTGAAAAGTTTCCCTCCTTTTATCATTAATGTTTTGAAACGTGGACTGAGTGGATGAAAATTGTAGCACTGCGATGGGTGGAGAAGGAGCCGAACGTGACGATCAGGCGAAAGGACTGCTTCGACGGCTATATTGGCTCCTTCCAGCCTGATGGCTCCAACGTCTTTGTGGATTGGATCAAACACAATCAAATTAAATCGGTATGAATCTTCTTCCACTTTTCGTTTCTTTTCAATGTCTTTGTGGATTGGATCAAACACAATCAAATCGAATCTGTATGAATCTTCTTCCACTTTTCATTTCTTTTCAATGTCTTTGTGGATTGGATCAAACACGATATGATCCAGCAAGAGCTGTTGATTTGGAACTCAAACCTTTTCTTTTCTTTTCTGTGGATTAAGCTTTTCGTGGTCGGAATTTGTACGGACATTTGCGTGTTGGATTTCGTGTGCTCCACTATGTCCGCCAAAAATCTAGGGCTTCTCAGTCCGTTAAACGACGTCGTTCTGTACTCTCAGGCCTGTGCTACCTTTGATGTTCCTCTCCATGTTGCTACAAACACCAAAGGAGCTCTTCCTCATCCTCAGGTAATACATTTTTCGTTCTTTTTCTCTCTTTTTCTTCCTAATTGACTAATTAAAGAAAATAATTGAAATTAAATAATAATAAGAAAAAAGATTTTCGAGGAAAAAATAATAATGGAAAGAATATATATTTTACGTGGAGTAAGATATTCGAAAAGATTATGTTTTATATCAGATGATTTATGTGTAGAACGCTCGCATTTGAGTCATGAAATATTTCTAATTATTTAAGTGCACCGTTTGGTTATAGTTTAATATACTTTTAACACTTTGGGTTATGAACGGTATGACAGGAGTTCATGCATCATGTCGGTTTGTACATGGCGAAGGAAAGAGGTGCCGTTATAGCCAACAAAATATCACTAATAGGAACCACCAAATAAGCCAACAGGTACCTTGCTTAAGTAGATGATCCTCGAATCAAATAAATAAATGGGAAGACGATCTTATCAAATAGAGAGTTTTTAAACTCGTGATCGAATACTTTAAATTAATCGAACTAAAGGAAGAGATAGTAGTCTTCTTGTTACTGTCATGTAAATTCTAAAATAAATTGTGTGGTTACCTCATGTTCTTTTTTTTTTCTCTCGGAATTTAACCATATTATTTATGAATAAAATGAATCAAACCAGAATTTCTTTCGTGTCGGAGAACGAGGAAAAGACAAGAACGGGGAGAGTATCACTACCCCATCCGACCTTGAACCTGCCCCAAATAATTATTTTTATTATTAAAATTTTAAAACATATAATATGTATTATATTATTAAAAACATATTTATATTCTTAACAATCCTTTACTTCATAATGTATCTGTTTTTAAGTTTATATATATCATTTCGTTTGTTTGTATATTCTATTATGTATAATTTCGTAATACAATAATTTGTATATAAATTTACAATAAAAGTATCATATATTTTTTAAAACAAATTATTTAATAAATTATACATAATACTACTTTTATCATTAACTATATATAATTCTAATATGCATGCCAATTTTAATTGAATTTAATAATAATAAATAATGAAAAAAAATTCTCCTCAAAGACCCGATTCCCAAACGGGGATTCCCGACCTGGATTCTTCGCAATGAGGAATGAAACGGAGAGGAGGATGGAGAGTGCATCTCTAATCCTGCCTCGTTATCATCCCCAAATCTTGTTGAACCAACCAGCGTGCGCTGTAAAGAAGCATGGTGAAAGATGAGTATAAACAATGAGAGAAGATTTCAGAAGGGGCCACAGATTCATAAAAGTACTAAACTTTTCATGATATTAACAAATGAGTCTAATGGTGTTCTTGTTCGAGACTCCAAACCGACTTACAAACGATGCCTCAACCTACTACAATCAGAAATAAGTACACAACTAAAGCAACAAGATATTAACAGCATCAAAGCTACATCACTGTTTATATAATCACCACAAAACTTGATGTTTAAGAGTTGATTAAGCAAAAGAACAGATTAATATATGCAAGGATAGAAAGAATTTCCCAGAAAAGGAAGTAATTTTGAGACCCAAGAGTGAGCGTTGACAAAGGTTTGGTGATCAAGTTAGTGAGGCCAGTGTACTTGTGAGTGATGAGTCAGTTGATAACAGATGGCTCGCTTAGCTTGCTCGTATACTACTGATCTTTAAATGAGGGCTTTAAATCCTCTGGCACTGTTGCAACTGCATTAGAAAAAATGGGAGGAAAATGATCATATCAGCAGATTGTAGCAAATGTTTCCACAGAATCCATTGAAATTATTTAGTAAATTAAGATCAAAATTTAAGTTAGAAAAGGTGCGAGATCCCGTATCGATTGGAGAGGGAAACGAGTGCCAGCAAGGCCGTTAGGCCTCGAAATAGGGTGGACTGTGAGATCCCATGTCGGTTAGAAAAGGAAACAAAACATTCTTTTATAAGGGTGTGGAAACGTTCCCCTAATAGATGCGTTTTAAAAACCTTGAAGGGAAGCTTGAAAGGGAAAGCTCAAAGAGGACACTATCGGCTAGCGGTGGACTTGAGCTGTTGCAAAATGTAAGACTAAATATGATAAACGATGAATAAAAGGGCCTGGTGTGCTGCCAAATTCGGGCTGTAAATCAGCATGACATCGAAGAAAAAAGAGAATTTAATCCCAAAAGAAAGAAAAAGGGAAGTAGTTTTTGACAATTATTTAAGGGTAGCTATTTGGAGTACTTACTTTATTCAAAGGAGATTTCTCTTAGGCTAACGAGTGTGTTTGGCAAATGATGCCCCTTCTTGCATGTCGTGTAAGGGCCAAGTATGTTGTCCCAGCTTGTCCGGACACCTTTCCAAGAGACCTTGAATCAGCCTTGGGCAGGATGCTTGTGGGCACACATGTACCCTTGCAATGTGCGATGACTAAAACACGTTGCGAGTGTGCTGCCCATTCGTGTGCATATTGTCATGGTCATGCTCGTCCAGGGCGTGTTGTCCATGACCGCATGTCCATGTCATATCAAACCCTTTATTTGATTCCATGTTGTATTGTCTTACTATTGTATTTTTTTTTATTGTATCACTCTTCGGTAAAATCATATCTAGGTCCGCTAGACCTAAATAGTCTAAAATGTACTATAAGGGGATGCAACTAGTCGTCAATTCTCCCTATCTAGTGTTATATGCTATCTAAGCCGTTATGTTGTCTTTCTCGCTTATAGTCTATAAGATTGCTTTCAATCTTACTTCAAAAATATATTTCCCCCGTTTTCTAAAATCTTCTTCTTAAAACAGGGCCAGAGGCTTGAGCATACGTTGCCCGGCCGTAGGCTATGCAAATTCGAATTCAAAAATATGTTTCCCCTGATTTTTAAAATCTTCTTAAAATGGGATCAGAGGCTTGAGCATACGTTGCCCGGCCGTAGGCTATGTAAATTCGAATTGGCTTGATTCACTTGGTGTTGGGAGAGTGAGTGTCGCACATCCGCTGCCAAGAAAAGTGCGATTGTGACAAGTGGTATCAGAGCATTTTTAGCTCGTTGACACATTGAAACCAAAACAATGTTGACGACAAAATCGACACCTAAATCAAAAGCCGACCGACTTAACTTTATAGAACAGTAAATGTTGTTTCTAAAAGAAGTCCACGACATTGACCGTTTCTTGTAAGGATGAGTTACAAAATTGAATAAAAAAGTTAAGGGAATCGACACCCGCCTGGATGGGTTGCTGATCAAAGAATTGATGTTTAGAGTTGACTCATTAGAGGAAAGACTTACTCGAAGGGAATTGCCAATCAAAGACTTGGCTACTGAAACTTGTTCCGAAAACCTAAAAATTACGTTAGCCACAATGCATCTTGTGGACGATGTAAAACTCTGGTGGTACTCGAGGGTGAACGATATCCAAAATGGGTCATGCACCATCGACTCATGAGAAAACCTCAAGAAATAGTTGAGGACTCAATTCTTCCTCGAAAATGTTGAATTTATAATAGGGCAGAAACTACAAGAATTGAGACACACGGGAGGCATAAGAGACTATGTTAAATAGTTCTCAGTTTTGATTTTAGACATCGGAATATGTTGGATAAGGAAAAAAAATCTGCTTTGTCGAAGGATTGCAACCGTGGGCCAGAGCAATAAACTTGCGATCCTTCATGTGCCACCAGAATTTTGCATTGTCCACAAATTGCATGGTGACTAACGTAACTTTCAAGTCTTTGGAACAAGTTTCTGTAGCTTTAAAGTATTGTTCTACATCAAAGATAAAGTTCTCCAATTCCTCGACTTTGGGTTTAGGGTTCTTCGGTTTGTTAAGCCCAAAATAAGCTTAGCTTGGGGTGTGATTCTCTACATCCCTCATTGTCAAACTCACTCGGGCGTTTGATTCGGACATCTCCCCCCTGATACCATCAATTGTTGTTCTGAATTCATCAGCTAAATCATTGAACAACTTCCGCATGGTCTTTTGTAAACCGCCTAGCTCTTTGACACATCCTTCCATGTGTGCAACAAAGTTGTCAAGACCATTAACATGTTCTGAGTTGCTCGTTCGGGCAACTCTTTCCTCTAATGAGTTAACTCTAAACATCAATTCTTTCATCGACAACCCATCCAGGCGGGCATCGATTGTATCGATTTCCTCAACTTTTTTATTCAATTTTGTCACTCGTCTTTCCAAGAAACTGACAGTGTCATGGATTTCTTTTAAAAACACATGTCTTCTTCTATCAAGGTAAGCCGGTCCACTTGTGATTTAGGTGCTGATTTTGTTGTCGACATTGTTTCGGTCTCAATGCATCAAAGAGCTAACAAGACACTGATACCACTTGCCACAATCACACTTTTCTTAGTAGCGAATTTTGTGATTGCGCGACACTTACTCCCAACATTGAGTGAGTCAAGCCAATTCAAATTTGCGTCGCCTACGACCGGACAACGTATGCTCAAGCCTCTTGTATCGTTTTAAGACGATTTTAGAAAACGGGACAGAGAAATTTATGAAAGCAAGATTGAAAAAAGGTCTTGAAAGCAATGTTATAGGCTATAAGCGAGAAAGGTAACATAACAGCTTAGATAACATATAATTTCGGGCAGGAAGAACGCGTCCCTCTATAGTACATTTTGAGACGATTCAGGTCTGGCAAGCTTAGACATGATTTTGCCGAACATTCATACAAAACTCGAGTGGAGAGAATTGATGACTAATTGCATCCCCTTCTATTATATTTTGAGGCGATTCAGGTATGGCGACCCTAGACATGATTTCGCCAAATAGTCATACAAACAGAAAATACAACAGTAAGACAATACAACATGAAATGAAATAAAGGATTTGGTGTGGCATAGACATGCGACCATAGGCAATACGCCCTGGACGAGCATGACTATAACATCTATCATGCAAAGTTTTTGCCTCACAAATTGCTTGCCACATGTTACTAAATTTGTAGAAGACTTCTTGGATTGCCAAGTAACTACGCTAAAAATGAGTTCAACAACCCATATGCATGTGTGAAACAGTGTTTCTAGTCGTTACCCACCAAATGGCACACAGGCGTACACGTTCCTATTTTTTGAGATGAAGGTTAAGCTATGACAAGGTTTAAGGTTGCACAAGGGGAAAACATTTTGGGTCGCAATTAGGTATCTGACAAGTAGTATCAGAGCTAGGTTCATTCCAACAAAATGAGTTGTTAAGTCCCGAATGGGACCCTTGCCCCAATATGGCCCAATCTCTACTATCCTTTGCAGAACACCACCATGAGAGAGTGGCAGCAATGGAGGGCTCGATAAGCATGTTAAGTGAGCACATTGAGGGTTAGAATCTTCTTGTGGCATGGGCAGGCAGGCTTCGCCATTCTTTTACTGTCTCTCTCTCGCTTTTTTTTTTTTTTTTTTTTTTG